GAACCCCACCCCCAGTGCTGCTCCTCCGTGGACATTACATCTGATGGCTTTGGCCGTTGGTGCGATCAATCTTTGATAACACACACGCACAGACGCGCGCCTATGAATCCATATAACATCATTTCTACACATCTGCATCTACATTGCACCTGTTTTAATAGAGTTCAGTTTCATCAGGCTCATTTCAGAATTGAGCCAGAAGTCTTTGCACACACTGGGTCTCAATCTGTCATCCTGTACAGGAAGCAGTTTTCTGTTTGCTGAACGTGTTCAGTTCTTTGACGGAGTAGCGGTGAAGATGCGACACCGGCTCACTGTTTCCTTTCTCCGCAGGAGGCGATCTGTCCCGACGCTGAGCGAGTCTGTTGGACGCGTCTGCGAACGCACCGCAGAGAGAACAGTGTGAAGTCCAAAGCACCAAGGAGCACCTCGCTAAAAGCCAGCTGGGTGATAGATGGAGGATTCTGGGTGGACGGATGGATGAGTGGAAAAAGTCCCTGCTGATAAACACAGTGCTCTGTAGTGCTCAGTCACCAAATGACTGGATCTTACTGCTGATTGTATATTTCTTACATATTCTGCAGCCTGTACATTCTACTGTGTATTTATAGATTAAAGATCCTATGATACAAGTTCTACTGCATTAAAACATGTTTCTTGTGTATGTTTGTGTATGTATACGTAGCAGCTACTGAACTGAACAGCTACTAGTCTGGGTTATATTCCCATGTTTACAGTGCAGTGCTGACGGGCTGGTCAATAAATGGACAGCAGGTCAGCTGTCTGTCTTTGAGGAATCCTTTTCTGTTTTAAGCAGTGTTGCAGCAGCACATGCTTCGTTGCTTTGTGGGACGTGGAAAGCACCACGTTAATAAAAGTGCCATTAAAAGTTTATAAGATAAAAGATTATAAGATTGATTTATGATCAATTTCAGGGCTGAGATCACCGACAGATTTCCTTCATACATTCAAATTATGCTGATGTGCTTTTTATTCATAATAATAATAATAGTAGTAGTAGTTTAATACACTGAGAGTAATCACAATGTTCTAATCCAGAGAATTAAGCAGCTTTACTTGCACACTTCAGTAAACTTAACATCTAAAGGATGTAAGTACAATCGCAGAAGATTCCAGATAAATATCTGCAGCAAACGAGCTGTGTACGCCACAAACATGCTGCTGTTCGTTTCCCTTTTCCTTCGGTTTGCATCAAAGAGGTTGCTGTCCTGACAGCCTCCTGGCTGTAACGCAAGCTTTCGTTAGATTTAGCGTTCAAGTCCTTTTTAAAATAATGTGCTCATTTCCCCACAGATGAGCTCGTCTCCTGTGTCACCGGGTCTTTTATGGGGAATGCAAAGACAGTAAGATTATACATGATTTAAAACCCATCATCCATCTCTCTGCGTTTCTCTTGGTTACTTCATAAAACCTTCTGCAGCTTCTACGTCTAACACAACTGGCAGTGTGAAAAACACGGTTTCTGCTGACAGTTTCATTTACTGCGGAGCTGTTTAGCCACGGCTGTAAGGAGATGTAGCTTTTAATGGATGTGTCAAAGTGACGCCCGGAGCTTGTTCTCTTTATTTATTTCAGTCGTTTATCCAATATAATGTAAGGTGCGCACACATTAATTCATCAATGAACTTTAGTTACATATTGATTTTCCTCTCTCATCATCCCCTTCTTGCCTCCTCGGTCCCCTCCTTTCTTCCTCTCCTCGTCCTCTCTTTTCTTGACTAAATAAGGGAGTTTTGAGGGGAAGGCTGACCAGCACGCCTCCTCTGGCTTTCAGCTGCTTCAGTAAATACTGCTGGAAGTAATAAGAGCAGTAACCGCTGCATTTTTAATTCATGCCAAAGACTAGGGTTGCCAACCGTCCCTTAAAATACGGAATCGTCCCGTATTTAGAAACACAAGTACACGTCCCGTATTGAGCTAATAAGCGACGCACTTTGTCCCGTAATACAGTGAGAATCAAAAGTAGTCTATAACTTTTAATGGAATTAACGCTTTGTTTGAAAACATAATTCCCAGCCCCTCTCCTGCTTTGTGACCAATGAGCTGACAGCACACTTATGACAATTCGAGTATGACAATTCAGATTACCGCTCATCTCATTGGTCGAGGAAAGGTCGCTTACAGAGAAAATACCGGAAGACAACAGATGACCACAACAAGAAGCATGGCCAACAGGGAAACAAACGCCGACTCTGCGGTGCAAGTCTCGGATGACAGTACACCTAAAGCTGGGCAGACACTGTGCGATTTTTTCAGTCACGTTATTCAGCTCCTGCTCAAACTGCACGATTGACTCGCAGGGGTTAGAAGTTCATAGGTCACGATGCAGGTCTCACACTATACGACCCGATGCTCTGATGCGACCTGAGTGCTCACACTGTGCCTCCATAACATGAAGGTTATAACAGAAAATCTGTCGCTCTCCCTCTCTCTGTCTTTCACTCACACAGACACACCACCACCATCAACTTTGCTAAATTGCTAATGAAAAACATTGATCAGGCAGCTGTGAATGAGCAGCAGTGTAGATCCAACTGTTTTCACGGTTGTTGTGGTCGTGATAATTTTGTGAGGCCACATCGAAAAGGCTCGGATGAGCTTTCCAAAGTTCTACAAGTTGTGCCTCCATCGCTTGTGTCCAGATCACACGCTGCACAGCCGTGCTGCTCCATCTTTTACACCAACGTTTACGTGTTTGCGCGTGAGCAGTGTGAGCGTCTGTGGTGACACCCTCACGAGCGATTGATGATCGGGAGCTGGTCGTGAGGTGTTAATCACTTCTCGTTACCCCACGTATACTACACGACGCACGATGAAGGCCAAAATCGGTCCGATCGCTCAAAAATCGGCTCAAAATGGGCCAAAAACCGCACAGTGTAAGCCCAGCATTAGAGCAGCAATGTTTGTTCAGAGAAAGGGAAGAATGGGAAAAGGAAAACACCTGGCTGGAAAAAGTTAATATGGGCATGTGCAGTCAATATCAGCGCTATGTGGCCAGAAGTGTGATAATATAATTTATTTTGTGTAATAAACAACTGCAAGGATAGATGATTACAACAAATTGATGACTAATACATAAAAGTAATACATAGATGAATAATGATGATGACTTATGATGCGTAATCATGGGAACAAGCGGGTTTACAAACAGGAGCAGCTGATTAGCATTAAGCCAATTGTACTAAATGCACTAAATGTGCACTGTTACAAGAATATTTTTCTTTCTATTGTTTTCTATTATTTTAAGTTAAGCAGGGCAGAGTTCTTTTAAAGAAAGATTTACTTATATTCTCAAAAGTTAAGCATGACAGGCTTCTGTTTAAGAAGGAGACCTGTTTTATTGTGTTAATGTTGTCATTTTGAGCTAAAAATAAATGGCTAAATGATCATTTGTTTCACATGTGTTCATATCACAAAGAATAGAATATGCATCTACTTAAATCAACTTCAAGTCAAATGGTTAAAAAAATAATTTCACACACAAAAAAAGAGCTAGAAAATTCACCACACTGGGAAGGGTGAAGACAACTGGGTCGCCCGGCCCTGGCCACGAGGTGTCCCTTATTTATTTTTCAGGGAGTTGGCAACCCTACCAAAGACTCACGTTTTGATCGATAGTCTTCGTCCAGCTGCAGGGCTGAAATTTATCACGTGTGACTAATCATTAAAAATATGATGCTGAGGAAAAAGGGGGGAGGACGCCTTTATGGAGCTGTGCAGGACATTTTTGATAAATGCTTCCACGGAGCAGCAGAGGGCTTCAGGCCTTTGCTTGGCGCTGCTGAAAACAAGGACGTTTTCCTCAGTCGGAGCCATCACAGGTGAACCGGCTGCAGTCCGGTTTCAATGGACTTCAAGGGATTCAGGAAAACGCTTTGTCTGCTGATGCCTTCAATGCCGGTCGGAAAATTAATACCTCACAGCTAAATTGAAGCGATGCTTCAAACAAGGTCATCGTAATTTCACCTCGTTAGTGTCCCCAGCAGCTCACAAACTACTCTTGCTCCCAGTGGCTTTGACAGCAGCGCACACGCGGCTGCATTTTAATACAAAAAGACGAGAATTTCATCCGATCTCGTCTTTGGGACATAATCAGCATTTCTGTTTCATTTCCCCCACAATGACAATATATATACTACCAACCGTTTATCACAAGAAAACGAGCTTGTCAGTTAAATAATTAACTTGTGACAACATAATAATAACAATAATCATCATCATCATTTTGTGTAATTAGATTGTACTGTTGTGTACCATGACAGTATGTGGTTTCATTTCCGACATACAATTTAGTCCTTTTTAGCTAACAGTCTAAATTAATGACACGTTACGCATTCTTAATGTTTGGAGAACATTCATATATTTAAAGATATTACATGTAATGCTAAAATAGAGCGGAAGAGCAGGACTGGGTTTCAATCCATCCGCTAGATCCGCAATACCCGACGCTCCATGAAGGCATCATCCCCAGGTTGACGGAAGGGGGGAACCCTTGTGACGTAGCTGAGCAGGCTGAGTGGTGAATCCCCATCCGACCCTCCCTGAAGCACAATAAAGAAGCACCAGCAACGCGTTTTAAACGGCCTTTCGTTATCCACGGCAAACTCGCTGATTCAGGATCAGCTCAGGCAGAGAGACACGCTTCACTTTCGCGCAGGTGAATGTTCCTTTGTGAGGTATGGATGGAGTCTTTTGTTACACAGAGACAAGCAGCACAGGAGCGGGCAGAAGGGCGTGGATGTAAACTGAATCCCTCCCATAGCTGCTGAGGACAGGTAATGCAGCACAAAGCCGAACACCTGTTAACAACGGCAGCCTTTCAGAGCTCGTATCCACCATCACCTGCACCACACATTCATTACAAGATCATCTTTGTGACAAATGATCTTGTTTTGAGGCATTTAAATCAGTTGCAGTGCTCTTTAATGATATCTGGGCCACGTTTTCAGCGACCAAAATCCCCAAACTGCAAAGCTCTT